TTGTTTACAGCCAAGAGCTCTGATGAATTCAGAGAGCCGTATAGTTAATGTGTGCATACTTCAATATTCCTAGTAGATTCTCAGTCTTAGGAGGGGAGAGCCTTTGTTTCATTCATCTTTGTACCTACGGCTTCTACAGTGAGTGTCTTGCACTCAGTACATACTTGTTGAATAAAAGGAGCAAACAACTATGATGCTGCTACTTGAAAGAAAGGGGTAATTATAGAAGTAGGCTTGAAGTTTATATGAAGGAGTTAGCATTAAATGGAGACTTGAAAGATGCATAGGATTTCTGCTGGCCAGATAAGGAGGGGGCATTCTAAGCAATAAACCATAGGTGGTTCACCAGCTAAAAACCTTTCTGGTATTTGGCCACCTTTTAGAGACCTTGTTTATTTATTTATAGACATGCAGGTTAAGATATTACCAATATATTCATTATTTAAAGAAGTCAATCTTAAGCAGAAGATTCTCTCCATTAGACACCTGCAGACCAGGGCTTAGCAATGTATGAGACATGGGGCGAGGTTGCTGCTATCTACAACTCTTGCTGACATCCAGGGAGACCAGCCATGCAAATTTCCTTTTATGCTTCCTTTCAGTGCTAGCACTGTTCCACATCCTCACTGTGCCCCATTTGTCTTAAATTCAAATTCCCAGATCCCCCAATGAGGCCAGAAGATAGTTGTACCAAAAGTTGGGGGTGTGTATGTTGAAAACAAAGTTAGTCTAGAAGACTCCCTGGTCATGTACACAACGAGTAAGCTCAAAATAGTTTTCTCTCACATTCCAGTTCTCACAGCATCAAATAATTCCAGAGTACCTGCCAGATAGCCACAATTCCTGTTTATAGTTTGGTCGAGGGAATACAGACGTTAAAGAAACAGACATGATGAAAGTTACTAGAGGGAAAGCACAGGGTGCGATGAGAGACAGTATATGACAAGCACTGGCATCCTTCCATCTTTAGGCCTCCCTTACTGTCAACTTCACAGGGCAGCAGAGTTTCCCACTGAGGACCTATCCAGTATATTTTTAAAGATATATTTTATAGAACTATATTACTGAACATTTGGAAAGTAGAGAATAAAGCTACCCATAGTCCTCTACTCGAGCCACACCCTACAAAATCCCTCTCAAGTATTTTTTTTTTTTTTCCCCCTGTACGCGAGCCTCTCACCGTTGTGGCCTCTCCCGTTGCGGAGCACAGCCTCCGGACGCACAGGCTCAGCGGCCATGGCTCACGGGCCCAGCCGCTCCGCGGCACGTGGGATCCTCCCGGAC